ATATAATATCACATTGCAATTCCCCAACAATAAAAAATACTTAGAAAACCTACATTTTTTTATATAGTTTTTTTTTTACTAAAAATTATCTTTATCAAATCAATGTAATTCAAAAACAAAGAAGTCGTAGCTCATGTAAACTGAGTTCCTCTACAATATGTTCTACATATTTCTTCACTCTTATAGTTCTGTTATGCATTCTGGTCGAATTTTGCCGACAACTAAAACTTCCTCAGCCCATGACGCAAAATTTCTTCCTTTCTCGTTGTCTTTCTGAAAATATGCGTCCACGGTTTCTGGATCTGTCAAATCGATGATTTCAATAATCTCTGGGTCTCCTTCATCGATATCAATTTGTACAATCCTTATCGACGATGCCCACGTTTTAGCAACAAATCTTTGAATTGCTGATTCTGACTTGCAGCATGAAATAAATCGTGATTCAGATCCTCCAGATCCATAGGTCACGTGGTCTTCTACAGTGACGTGAGAAAGAGGGTCTTTCGGATAGAGGCCTACACTTGGATCTTCACCCGGTCTTAAAAGTCTGTACAGAACGACCTGTTACCAATAATTGAGAGTTTACAAAATACAACAAGATTTGTGAAACACTCATGCCCAGTCATGGCAGCTTATGCATCTTTTATAGAAAGAATGACAATGAAGTGTCTCTCTTTTTTATCAAAAATTAGAATAAGACGAGATATACAATGGCACTAAGTTAAAAGACCCTGTGAAGGTCTCAAGATCCCTCTCTACACTGCACACTAAAGAGTTCTGATTCTAAGGTATTTTTCTGCAGTTAGAGTAATCTGCCCTTAAATCTAACTTCTAAAAAATAGAAAATCACAAATATATTAATCGATTTGTAATTAATCCAAATATTCTTAACATTTTAAAAGACGAAGATAAATTAACTGAACGTGTTATTTACATTTATTTTCTCTACTGAAGTAATTAACAGTGATTTCTAGTCACTGACACTATGTTGTCTTTGAACATTTTTCCCGGTGGTAAATGCCACGCACCATATAGTGAAAATTAAATAAATAAGCACAATATTAAGTCCTTTGTACAATATAATTTATTTTTCTCAATGTCCAAAAAAAATTTGCACTTGTATAGAGAGGGTCCTTAAATTCTTTAATTCTATTTACTGATATAGAAAGAGTTACAGATAGAGATGAGTACCCCAGATATTATAGAAAGAATTTCTGCCAAGGAAAATATCGGTTCGATCGAAATGGAAAAAAGGAGATGTTTAATAAATACTATTCAAAAATATTTAGTGCAAAATTCATCTAATTGCAATTACATGTAGTGGTATAAGACATGTTGCACATAAGTAAAGCTACCCCAAGTGCTACGGGCATATGTACATACAGTAGAAAAATGGAACTCACAATATACACCCCTACATTTCAACCAGGGGTATAATAGAAATATGGTAAATGAAAAAAAACTATAACGATTGTTAATATGGCTTAGATGTTGAAAATTCACAAGCAAGCAATGTCTCATCCCACCCCTTTTTACGTTTTTCTATTATGTATCAAGTATATCCTGCCAATTCCAATAGATGATTAAAAGATCGAATTTTAGTACTAGCAATACAATTTATAATATGATTTAAAACTCACCATTTTCTTTCAGATGTTCTCAGACTAAAATTAAAATGAAATTTAGTTTCGTTTTTCTATTTCATTCGTGGAAATACTAAATTAGCATTGATTTTTATTATACGTAACAACTCGGAACAGTTCGGCCATTTCAGACGGTATGTGCTAATCTCGGGCATAGACTGGAGTTCCTGTCTCATTCGTACGAAACGACTGTATATCGAAGAGACTAGACAGGCAAGCCAGTCTAATCTCGGGTAAAGAGCAAAATTTAAAAATGAGTGGGTTAAAAAATTCAATCCCAGATTTAAAAATATTGCATTGAATAAATAAAATTTGATAACGTGTCATTTTTCGTAAAAACAGTACGACATTTTTTCGTTGTAATTTAAGATACAGATTTTAGCCAATCAAAATCTTCGTGCTGGATCAGCACATACCGTTTCATGGTTTAGTCGGACTTTCCAATCGGCGGGCAGAGTTTTGACGCTGTTTACGGATTTAAATGAAAACAGAGAGATGCGTGCCATATATGGTTGTGTAGGTAGATTATCGTTGAAGACACTGGTAATAAAAAGTTTGCCAGTGCATTTCATCTGAAAGTGTAAATGAGTGCGTTTCTGAGGAGGGGGTACTGAGTGTAATTCGGAGTTGGATACCTTGTGTTATTATTATTATTATGTATTGGTTAAAAATGTATTACCGAAACAAGTGCCTGTGGACCTAAGGTAGGGTTCTCGTCAGGTTGTAAAAATCTGTAATACATTTCCTATAGGACGGATTGGATGATTAAGATATTTTATGAAACACTACGCACACATTTCACAATTGATGCTTACAAAAATGCAAAAGTTAAACCACTTGAAATGTTCCAATCTTTCAACAGAAATATCATTTATAATTTCATCGATGCATATTGTAATTCATCCTTAATAGAAGTGATATTTTAAGATTTACATACCAATATTCTCTCAAGAAAAGTCTAAAAGAAAGTATTTTCTAAAAATAGAAATGCATCCCATCATCAACATTAACCAGAAATGTTAAACAAACATTCTCCAAATTCTTGACACTCACAATTAATTTTTGAAATTTCTTATTGATGATATCCCAGATAGCATGACTATGTTGGGCCAACATATGTAAAAGGTTGTATGGTTGGCGTTGGGGGAACAACCTTGGGCCAACATTGGACCAATGTTACCAAGTCAACCTTCTTGACCATGACAAAATTCCTATGTTGGCCCAACGTTGGTCCAACGTAAGCAACTTCCATTCAGTTTAGTTCCCAAGGAAGGAAGGACCCTGGTGTTGGTCCAACGTTGGACCAATGTTTATAATACACCCTTAAAGAAAAGTGTATTTACAAGTTGGTAGTAGTATGTTGGCCCCAACGTTGGCCCTATGTTTGTACATACCTTAAAGAAGGTGCTTTATCAAGTTGGAGATGTTGGCTGAACGTTGGCCCATTGTTAGTAATGCACCCTTAAAAACGTCAAGTTGGTAGATATCAATGTTGGCTCAATGTTTGTTCATTGTTTGTAATACACCCTTTAAGAAAGTGCCTTATGAAGTTCAAGTAGTATGTTGGCCCAACGTTGGCCCGATGTTTCTAATACACCCTTAAAGAACGTGTCCTATCCAGTTGGAGAATATATGTTGGCTCAACATTGACAATGATTGTAATACACACCAAGTATTATTTTGTTTAAGTGTTTAAAAGATGGGATATTTATATAGGGCCAACGTAGGCCCAATTATTAAACTGCCAATTAATTGATGGTGTCAGTTTTATAATTAGCTGCTGAGCTTTACGTTGGGACAATGTGATCACCTAAGTGCAAAGTTAAAATGTTAAGAGCACTTTCTATATGTAAACAAGAGCAGTCATTAGATGACTGCATGGACATAGATACTAAGATCACATTTTTACTTTGCCAACGTTGTCCCAACACCAAAGAGTGCTATTTTATGAAATTGTATATTTATATTTGTAATAAACAAGATACAGAATATTGTTGGCCCAATCTTACATTATGGTTGTATTATCTCTGTTGGGTTGCCTCATTGGGCCAACAATGGGCCCAACATTGAATATCGATAGCTGGTAATGTATAATGGTGCGCTAATGCTTGGCTAACTGTTCGCATCATATCATAATATTATTATCATGAGAGAAAATATTTGTTTGGGGATTGGCATCGGCCCAACGTTGGCCCAATATATGAAGCTGACTGAGCATCACGGGAAGACAACAACCGGGCTACTTGTATATATCCGCGCCATTTTTAATCTGACACGAGCGAGCGTAATGAGACTGATACCTTGCATATCTGCAACCACTTTGTAAGTATTTATAATATGTTTGCCTCGGCACAGCTGAATTAATGTTTAGTTTTTAAACAATATCATGTACAAATCTGCGCAAAGCAGACACGGGGAAGTGCAGAGGCCAGGTGCTGTTGGGTCAACACTGTACCCCAGATGGCATGATAACATTGGGCCAACGTTTGGCCAATGTAATCGGTTACATGGGGCCAATGTTGGCAAATGACATTGACCCAATTTAAGTTTGCTCATCGGCCAAATGTTGGCCCGATGTGTTGGGCCAACGTTGGCCCAGTGTAAGTGTTATTACCAGATATTGGCCCAACGTGGCGCAAACATGGCCCAATAAATGCGACATTGTTTGACCAACGTCAATAGGAACATTGGGCCGATGTTGGCAAATGACGTGGGTCCAGTGTCATTTTGCCTTTCTAGGCCCAAAGTTCGCGCCGATATTTGGACCAACATTGGGCCAATGTGTATAAACATTTAATTGTTACAAATCTGTATACTGTGAAATCACTAATTTTCGTGAGGGTTTAATTTTCGTTGTTTTCGTGGTATGAAGAGACCCACATTTATGTCCACCATGAAATGTAAATTTCCATATGCACAACTACTTATAAGTTCTTCACCCAAGAAATCAAATCCCCTGATCAGCATTTTTTCCTCAAACCACGAAAATTTGACCCCACGAAAATGTGTGATTTTACCGTATTAACAAATCTGATCGTCTCTACAATCAAAAATAAATCTACAACCAATCCTACTTGAAAGTACAAGCTAGCTCAAAATGAATTTACAAGGCTTGTTAAAATTCTTATAATTTATCAAAACAAAATAAATTATCAGTGATGAAATGTTTTGTTTTTATACAAGAAAAATAAAGTATAAAATAACAAATGTGTTTTGATACAGTTAAAACAATAAATAATTTGCTCCCTATTTAAATTGAAATTTGTGTCTAGTAAAATACATTTCCGAAGTCTACCACTTAATTTACTTATATACACTTAACGTCGAGTACATGATCAAACATTTTGAAAATGTTGAACTTGCTGAAGTTAAAACTAAATTTATTCAGTACTAAACATAAATTGGGTTCTTTCAACTAAAATTTGTTCAGTGTAACGACTTTTCTATACATGTATTTTATATGGGGCAACATTGAATCAAAATCGTTGTGATGATGATGATGATCAAGCGTAGAAATGTTATGCATAAATGCCTTCATCATGCAAGCTAATCACTTAATCACACCATGAAACAAAAAAGACGGTTATTCCTTAATTGACAACTTAAACATATAGTGATATACTTGTAAATTTAATCGTATGTTTACTCTTTACTGAGAAAAGTAACAAATGTATTAAGTACCAAATACTACAATTTTAGTGCTACTAGAGATTCTAAAAAGACATTCAGAACACAATCAAAGAATGGCTAAGGTATGCCAAGGACAGGGATGGGGGAAGAAGAAACGGACAGAGAAGAAAAGAAGGGGGAGGAGGAGACTCGGGAGAGAGAAGAGAAGACTTGAGAGAGGGATCAGATGGAAAGTGGCAGTGCCTAGCTTTTTTTCTGTTATATACTGTGACAAACCTGTAGTTCTATCCTTTTTTGTGTCTGTTTGTCGGTTACAAACACGATGCAGATACCAGAAACATTTTTTGTGTAAGTAAACAAAATGACGGGATTCATTGTAGTATTATTTTAAGAACAGGGGGGCTTTGTTTATTTGTTGGACCTGCTTATTGATACCTGTAATTTACTGAACTTGTGCATAAATTTACATCAGAGAGAGAGAGAGAGAGTATACAGTCATGTAACCCTACATGTATCGCTTGAAGTGGGCATCAACTTTTGTTTCTTTATTAATGTTTTCTTCATGCCCTGAGCAATAAAATACTAGTATGTTATAATTTAATTTTATATTTTGATTTCTTTTTCCTCAGTTTTTTAATTAATGCTATGAGACATATATTGAGAATATGTATTAAACTATTAATCTAGCATATATAGATATTATTAAAGGGCTTTTACTATTAAACTGTTCTACAAAACTAGTATAACCTTAATATATGTATTTGTTTGTCAATTTTGAGAACAAATGGCCAACCAGTGAAGAGCAAATGAGTTGTCATGATGGAGAGCCAATAAGATACAAACCAACGTTGGCCCAAAAATGATGTTTGCCTAATATTGAAAGAATAAGTGGCCCAACAATGGCTCAATAATATCCGTTCGTTGGTCCAGCAATAAGCCAACAAGTTGGTCTGATTAAGGGCCGATGAGCAAATTACCGTTGGCCCAACATTAATTGCTTACAATGGCCCAAATGTACAAAAATGACGTTTGCCCAACATTGAAAAAATACATTGGCCCGACAGTGGCCCAATATTAACTGTTACATTGGCCCAACAATAAGCCAACAAGTTGGTTTGATTAAGGGCCGATGAGCAAATTACCGTTGGCCCAACATTAACTGCTTACAATGGCCCAATTGTACAAAAATGACGTTTGCCCAATATTGAAATAATACATTAGCCCAACAGTGGCCCAATATTAACTGTTACATTGGCCCAACAATAAGCCAACAAGTTGGTTTGATTAAGGGCCGATGAGCAAATTACCGATGGTCCAATGTTGAATACAAACGGTGGCCCAACATAAGGAGCATTGTTGGCCCAACAAAGGTCCAATAACATCCTGCTATCTGGGATGAAATATTTGTAACTGTACAATGTGCTTAGATCTTTCCTGATTTAAAAAATACACACACAAAAGTACGAAATACAAATAAATCTTAAGTTATGGTCTTTTTCTTTTTCTATTAAACTTTTCTACAAGTGTAATTATACTAAATTCTCATCGTTTCTCAATCCATGTCATTTGTAATGACATTTGCTTGACGAATTTTTTTACAGGAGGGGACAAAGTTTATAATGATTTCTTCGTTCACATAAAAAACATGTCCATTTTCTTCTTTTGTCATTGATTCTTCATTATAAGATAAATAAAATAAAGCATATTTCAATAGTGATAAAGTGATTAATATTTGAATTGATATAACTCACCATTTTTATTCAACTGCGTTTGGTTACTGTTAGCGGCTGAATAACTTCTATTTAAAATAGAAATAAGTCTTTACCTATCCTTCTATTTTTAGAATTGGGGAATTTCAATTTAATATGGCGCTTATCTTAGAGATGGGTCATAAAGCGAAACAAAGAGTAGTTTTTTTCTTCAGAAAATAAATAAATGTCGAACTGCTGAAGAAAACTTAGAATAATGTGAGACAGGAAAAAGAGGGGTTCATATATAACACGTACATTGCTTTAAAAAAAACAGCAAAGAAATCTTAACTTATGGCCCTGTCTTTTTTTATTAAACTCTTTTACAAATTCAATTATATTAAACTCTCATCGTTCGTTTCTCAATCACCGTCATTCATAATGACATTTCCTTGACGAAGTTGTTTGTAAAGGCAGGAAGGAAAATAGCGTTTTTAATATGAACCCCAACTATATGATAAATTGTTGTCTTCTTTTCTTTGATGAAATTATTTTTTGTTTCTCTTTCATTTTGAATTCGAGGAAAATGCATCAGGCAAGTCATTCCACAGTTGTACTGTTGATGTAAGGAAACTTTCCTTGTATGATTTAGTTCTAATATGAGGAATTTTAATTCTGCATCATTACTTCTAAGGTTATAGGAATGATTTAATGGACGATAAGGTTCGATCAATTATACAAATATTGTATATACAAAATGCTCCACCAAAGGCAAAATTTTGATTAATGTCCAAATAATTTCACATTGAATTTTACATTGAAGTCTTTGGGCAGTGCATGTTTTATCAGATATTGTAAAAAGTAATTTGAATTTCAAACAAATCTCTTGGTGAAAATATGCATAAACTCCCTCTTTACTAAATTATGAAATAAAATGAATTATTTACCGCAGAGATTTTTAGAAATCAAAAATTTTCTTATTTTCATCGAGGGCAGATAACTCTTCAAAATCTTTCAATGTGCAAAGTGACGTTCTCCTTACCTTGTGAATTTGGTTCATGTCACTTATATCGTTATCTAGTAATCCGTTTTTAAGTAGTTTAAAATTATTTAAATTCGTTCAAAATCCCTTCATTATACATCGAATACCTTAATTAAGCTTTCTACAAGTTCAATTATACTTAAATAGCGTCTTTTCTCAATCCATGTCTTTGTAATAACATTTCTTCGACCAATGAATTTGATTGTTTGTAAAGGCCTGAGGGGGAGAAGGTGATATGAGTCCCAACTACAGTTTGACTATATTTTTTTAATGTCGAAAATTCCTAAAATAGGATAATAAATTATAAACACACCTCATCATACTTGTTTAGCCGCGTAAACACTGTTTCTGAAATTAAATACAAGAAAATTTTGGCTTCGTTTTCATTTTGTCATTAGTGTAAAATGTCTTTTTTGAAAAGGTTTGGAGAGAAAATATTCAACCAATCTATTTGTTTTAAAAATTACATGTTTATATCATTATTATCCATCAAAACTGGATGAATGACATATCTATTTAATACAGGTACATTTTACAACACACATACCGTAAATCTGGAAATTTTTGCTGTAGATAAATTTTTAGCAAATTTGCGAGTTCATTGCATTCGCAAAAATATTTTTCTTAAAAATAAATTACCAATAAGAAAATGTAAACAAAGCAGTGGAAATTCGCAAAATTTTGAAACGTAAAAATTAATCAACACCATTTTGACCCGAATTCGCAAAATAAAATCGACGTAAAAATTTCCAGATTTACGGTATAAATTTCTATAAAGCATTATAACTTGTAAATTACCTTAAGAATACACTAATTGACTCTTAGTACAAATGGATTAATCATGAATATTTCTTTCTTTTAATTTTCATCAACACCAGGTACCTCTTCATAATTAAAATAAACATAATATGATAAAAAAAAAACATCCATTCCTACTTACATACAGCTGTCTTTTAGCGCAGCAATTCTTCTACAGCTTCTGCGCATGTCTGAATATCTTTCGTCGATCTATTTTTTATTTGTTCTTTGTGCTTGCAAAACAGTTATCGTGCAGAATTTATAATCTTTATAAGATTACATTATTTGTTGTAAAGCTTTACCACCTTCAACAGGTTGTTTTTATAGTGGGATGTACCAAGCTCTTCTCAGGCTACATAAACATGATAAAGGCTTTCGGAAGAGGTTTCTATGACTGTTACTATGTAGATACATAAAACGTTTATATTAAATGAAATTGAAACCTGTTTCTAGGTTAACCTCTAGGATTCAATGGGACTATATCAGTAATGCATTTTCTTGCATTGACAATTTAATCTATATTCAATTTTATCATTTTAATACCCGAAATAAAAAGATAAAAAAGAATAGTACTCAATCATCATTGTTGTTCCCAGCTTCCACTGAAAGTGTTGATATTAATTTCGGTTTGTCTGTCAGTCTTTCTAGCTGCCTGTCTTTAACTCTCATTTCCGCAAGATAGCTTGAGAAGCCTTTGAGAGTTTGCAATAAATTATACATACCAAACCCCTATGGCCTAAAGAAGACCCCATTGAATATTGATTTTTAATGGTCAAAAGTCTACGTCATCGAATTATTAATTCTTTCTATTTTAACACTCTCATTTCCTATTGATATCTCGAAAAGCATTTGAGCTTTGCAGTGCAATTTTATTCTACAAATACCCATGTCCTAAGGAAATTCCGATACCTATTGATTGTTTAGAAAAGACTAAATTAGACACCCAATATGTTATGCAAAAGTTCTTTTAAAAAAATAAGCAATGTATAATGTTATTTCGTTTTTCATTTTTCATTCGTGGATTAAATATTTGTTAAGGAAATGAAAATAAAAAGTATCAAATTTTTTATTGAGTTTATTATATATTTATTAATGGTTTGGTATTCAATACATAACCCAAATATTAATTGATCCACCTGAATATTATTACAAATTTTCCACTGACAAGATAATAATCTGTGTCCCCGCCTAAGGATAAAGAATGCACATTTTCAATTGCATGCATTGGGTTTTTTTTTCAACATTTTTATAATAAGTTATAAAAGTTGCTTCCTTACAAACAAGATGAATAAACTATAAATCAGAGAATATAATAAAGTTAAAATCACATTGCAATTCACCAACAATAAAAATACTAAGAAAAACATACAAGTATATATTATAATAGCTTTTAGCTAAGAATTCTTTTTATCAAATCAATGTGATGTAAACTGAGTTTCTCTTTAATATGTTCTACATTTATCTTCACTGGTATAGTTTTAATATGCATTCTGGTCGAATTGTGCTGACAACTAAAACCTCCTCGGCCCCTGACACAAAATTTCTTCCTCTCTCGTTGTCTTTCTCAAAATATGTGTCCACGGTTTCCGGATCTGTCAGATCGATGATTTCAATAATCCCTGGGTCTCCTTCATTAATATCAATTTGTACAATCCTTATCAGAAATGTGCACGTATAAGCAACAAATCTTCGAATTGCTGAATATGACTAGCAGCACGAAATAATCATAAAACAATATAGCATTGTACAAAGCATGTACGTACATCAAAGTTTAATAAGAACACTAGCTAAATAGTATAAGGATTAAAATTAACATTGCACGTGTGTTCATTATATAATTAATTAAAATAATATTTATTTCTACATGCATGTACATGTATTTTAGTACATTGACCATATAATCATCAGTATTTTGCACATTTTTACAAAGTATTATATGACAGATTAATTTAAATGAAAATAATCATTATTTCCATTCGTTTAAAACGTTTATATTGTGCTATAAAAATTGTGTCATAATTGTTTTGTCACTTGCAAAAACTAAATACAAATGATTATTTCATAATTTGGTTACAACACATTGCAAATCGAAACATGACAAAAAGTATGGCAAATCTTCTATAACATTCGTGCCAAATTTTGCATGTAAGTCGGCTTTACAAGGGTAAAACCATGATGTCGGAAAGGCAATCTGGAGGAACGTGGTCCAGGATCAACACCTCCTGAAAACGGTTTACATAATTTATTGCTCTTTGGTTGTGTGGGAAATAAAGCAGTTGATTATTTGGATCCGTCAAATCTATTGTTTGGATTGTTGGATATTTTATGGTTATCTGTACAATCCTTTTTGGACTTGTATACGTATTAGCAGCAAAATCTCTGACTGCATCCCATGTCTTGCAACAGGAAATGTATCGCGAAGCGTATCCCGCTTGTGATCTATTAGTCACATGATCTTCGACACTGATGACGTCAGAAAATTGGTTTTTCGCAAAGAGGCCTAAAGTAGGATCCTCATCAGGTCGCAATAATCTGTAAAACATTTCCTAAAGGAAAGATTGGACATAATTAAGAGATTTTATTCAACATTATATAGACATTTCACAATGAATGCTTACAAAAGCTGAAAAATTTAAAGAAATTGAAATGTACCAATCCAAAGGAAATTATAATTAACAAAGACTTATTGTAGTTTATCTGTTGAATAAGATTGATATTTTCACATATATCGAGAAAATTCTCAAAGAAAATACTTTCTGAAAATAGCTATAGCAAGAGTTCGTAAAAGATCACAATATCAACCAAATGAAACAAACATTTCTTCAAATTCTTAACACTCACAGTTAATTTTTGATTTCCTAATTGATAATATGAAATATTTATAACTGCACAATGTGCTTAGGACTTTTCTGAGTTAAAAAATCAGAACATTAAAGAAGTTAGAAAACTGCGAGAGGATCTACATAATAGGAATGAAGTTCTGAGCTCAATAAAGTTGACTATGGTATGACTTGATTTCTATACATTCTCACTTTCTTACATTATCTTCATGCATCAGAGTATAGAATTTTTAAAGGTTGAAGACATTGATGCCCTTTACGAAGCTCTTTGGACATTGTTGAAGGAATAATCAGATGTAAATTTTAAAAACTAATCCTGCATTGCAGAACTATAGTTTCGGAAACTCATTGAATCTGGATAAATGCCTTTATGTTCTTGACACTGAAATTCTTAATAAACTGCATCTAAATCCAATGATAAAATACAGAATACAACAATTGTACAGAAATTTTGAAAGTTTACCAGTTAATGTTTCTGCTAATGTCCAAATTGAGATTGATAAATGTTTAAAAGCCAATATGGAAAACTCGGATACGTATATGGAATTACGAGAGAGAGAGAGAGAGGATGTTTTATTTTCAATAGATGTCAATTGCAAACTAACAACTAAGCTGGATGAACATTATGAATTCATATTTTCTCTAACTAAATTAGTTATTCTTAATCACCTGTATATGGTGTTTTTGTCTCTATACTTAATTTTCATGCGGGACCATATTCTTTATTTTTAATTTTTCTACCGGGTCAAACTACTAACAAATAAGTTAGTTTAACATAATTTCAATAATTTAGTTTTCAATAGGGATTTCCCATTTTCTAAGATCCTTATGAAAGAAGAAATTATTGTCATAATATAATTTTTTAACCAGATCTCTAATATTAAATACTCACCGTTGTCATTTAGCTGGCGTAAATAATAATTTTGATTAAATTTGATTGCTTTTATAAGCTTTCGTTATCATAAGGAGTCACAACATTTTTGTGTACATAAAAGCAGACTTTAATCTGATAGCTAATGTAAATAACACAAATTCTGAAAATGAAATGGGAATGTTCCTTTCTGGAAAAAAAAAGAAGCATCTTGGTTTCTTTTTTATTTTCGTTCTCAGATGAGAGTTTCAGTTTTGTTTTCAGATGATTTGTTATGAAAATTAGAATAGCGAATATTTTACATACATATATTACTACATGTATATATTTCATCATTAACTAATTTTATTCCTTCATATAAATAGATATACTAATAATTAAATTTTGGTAAATAAATCAATGCCGGAAACAAGTATATATGTTTTTGTTTGTTTTTGTTAATTTAAGGAACTGTTACGTTTCAATAAACATCAGGTTTTCATGTTTTTTCATTGTTTTCCTTAATAGACTGTTTCTCCTCTCTTCTCCTCTTTTGCAATTGTTTCTGTTCTTAAAATTTTTGTTTTGTGTTTCTCAAAGCTCTCCCTTTTCTCCCTGTATTATTGCTGAGCTTGTGAGAAGCCGTTGAGGTCACCTTTCAGGCTTTTCCCGACGATTAAACAGCAGCAACAGGATTGAAAATCTGGTGGATTTCAGAGTTCCACAATGACCTCTGACTCCACCTTAATTTGGACAATTTCAATTGGTCCCATGTAAAGAAGAGTTAACAAATGTTCTGGGTTTTCGATTTCTGTATACCTGTTTGTGTCGTCTGATCAAATTTCCACTCCTGCTTCTGTGGATAAAACAGCAGTTACTGGGACGGGATATTCCTAAAATTCCGCGTCCACATCGGAAGTCGGAAAAATGCTGTCACTGACCGCGAGGGAAATAAAATGTGACGATACAGAGTGTATCTCAGCAGTCACAGAAACTGTATTTTTGTTTGTTGACTCGGAAAGATTAAGGGAGTTGTGACATAATTTTGTGGGATCTTATAAGCAGTACTTGGCAAATAAGCACTTTCTAGAAGAGTTTATGGGTCAAACGGGTACATTCTGCATGTCCGAAAACCACTCACTATATTTTTCGAAGCAATTTCTTCTATCCATTCCTTTTTAAAAAGGGAGGGGAATTCCACTTGTTGATGAGATGCGAGGCGTATTTGAAATTAAAAGAGAAATTGTTGTCTGTCTTGTTGAAAGGTCCAAATACGGACCTGCCCAACAGCTGGAGAAAAAAGGTTGTATATAGAGGCAGTGTAAGAACTTAAATTTCTTCATGTTCTGCAAGTTCCAATAAACCAAGCATTTCAGGAGATCCATGCCTATCAAGGATGAGGAGTTCGGGACATTATTCGTCCTGCATTTGGGAAGAAATACATTAATTATACAACATTGCCCAACTCCTTATCCATCTAAGCACAATCATCGGAAGTCCACATGCTATTTTCTGGGACTTCCGTTGTGTTGTTTCCAAAAGACGACTTTTTGTTTTGCCTTCGACGACTGGCATGAATGGCATCTGTTCGCCAGAACCAATTACATTTGCCAAAACTGTAATGGTGCTGCAGTTAGTGCTCATTCGACCCACAATGTACTCCAGTACTAGTCTACATTAACAGGGGAATGTTCTGATTGCTTTCGTGGGCGTTCCAATTTTTTCTTTAGTGTTTTTTTTTTTTGTTCTTTTTAATTATGTTATGAATGCTTCAATGTGTATGAGGTGGATGTACCATTAAATACCCACAATATTTAATTGCAAAAGTACAGCATAGTAAAGAGCTCACATCATATAATGAGCAAGAAACTTTTCAAATTGAAAAAAATCATAGAAAATAATGCAAAAGATACCTTATTTTCTTGAAATAACCATAACACTTAATACAAAATCGCAACATAATGAAGAAACCAAAGCATATACTTATAACCTGACCTGATCATTATGAAATAATTATGAATTAATCACAGTACATAATGAAAAACTATGCACCTCAACATAATGAGGACCTTTTCCAAAAGGAGGCTATATAGTGTTTTCACTCTCAATAGTTTTTTTTAATCGAAAGTTATCATACAGTTTATAAAACATCAATCTTAATATACGTGTGCTTTTATTTAGCAGAGGTTACTATGTTTGAATTGTTTATGTTTGAATTGTTTAATCAGTCATATACTGATTTTTTTTTTAATGGTTGAATAAACTTGCTTTTTTATTTTAACTTTTAATTTAACTATCAACAAAACAAATAATGAAATTATTTCAAAATTATCAACCGATCTTTTTTTCAAGGATTTCCGATGAAAAGATTTACAAACATGAAGTAAATGCAAAATGAAGAATTGTTTAAAGTTGAAAATACCGGTATCAGCATTTTCTATCATGATATATCGATAAATACCAGGTTAAATTACACATTTTTTACACATTAACGTAAATATGTTCCATTCTTATAACCATTTCAATGTAATTCTAATGGTAATGGTACTAAAATATCCAACATACATGTAAGTTTTTAATACAATCTTTTTACTAGTATTTAAAAAATTAAATTCGAGAAATCTAAAATATAGAGCTACAAAATACAAGTATATATAGTTGGATATGGATTACAGAAATATTGTTTAAAATTTACACTATCAGTGAAATTACAAAAAAAAATCATAGTCAAAATAAGATATATAAAAAAGTATGTTCTTTCAGCTTAAAGTATTTCAAAAACGTGTGTTTTGAATATCACAGAAATACAGTAATAAAAATACATGAAAAAGATAAAATCAGCAATAACAAATCAAAATAATAAAGTAGTGATGTATACAATGTACAGTCAACAATAAGAAAATATCACATTGAATATAAAAATTTGTGAAATGTTAATAACCTACATGAATATACTAGTATAAGAAAACAAAATAAAGTAAAACACAATTACAATTCAAAAATTACTAAAATAATATTAAACATATTTTCTATTTAAGAGTTTTTAATCAAATAAATGTGATTCCTAAACAAAGCTGATCAAGTAAATTATGTTCCACTTATATAAAAATCGACATATTACTTTATTCCAAAATTTCAAAAATGCACTCTGGAGGAATTCTACCGACAACTAATACTTCCTCTGCCCAAGAGGCAAAATTCCTCCCTCTTTCGTTGTCTTTATTGAAATAAACGTCCACGATTTTTGGATCTGTCAGATCAATTATTTCAATTATTCCCGGATCAAGTTCGTCGATATCAATTTGTACAATCCTTACTGGATAAGTCCAGGTGTTAGCCACGAATCTTTCAATTGCTGAATATGATTTACAACACGAAATAAATCGTGAGGCCGGTCCACGAGATCCATGTGTCACGTGCTCTTCTACAGTGACGTCAGAAGAAGGGTCTTTCGCAGAGAGGCCTCTGCTAGGATCCTCGTTGGGTCGTAACAATCTGTACAGAATTACCTTTTATATTCTTTGTGACAAGACATTTCTTTGGGTACTAACAGATTTTGATCTCTTGATCTGAAAGTGTGACTTGCATTTGAGAAACTACAGTATACTGGGGGTACCATACAGGGATATCAGCGTTTCACAAACACATAATGTTTCTAAGCAGTAATGGGGACTGTAATTGCTCTTTGAAATACATGTTTTCTTGTCCCTCATTTTAAAACAATGTTATGTTAAAATGCTACAATAAAGACACATCTATCATTACAGTATATAACAGGGGGATTTTAGATGTTTGGATGGACAACTTTTTAAGGAATATTTCATATTATGTGCACTTATCTTTTTCTTTACTTAATATAGTCACGGATTATGTTCTAAATGGATAAATAAAATTGATAAAAGACTCCCAATTAAAAAAAAAATGATTGTGTTAAACATAATATATTATACCTTACCATAGAAAAAAGAATGCATTTTTAATTTTAGTGTCATATTTTTAAATGATAATTAAACATTGGATGTTATAAGTTTGTTTGAACACATGTTACGAATTGTTCATCCAAGTCACTTTTAAATTCGCCATGTTATGTGTAGGCATGAAACCAGATTTTTTCAAGAGTCAAAATATTTGAATGACATCCCCACAAGGCAATAACGGCTCTATAGCGCCGACCCATGCTAGCCATCAGTCGTGCAAGGCTAGCCTGCGGGATCTGCTGCCATTCCTCCTGCAACGCTGCCTGAAGTCCTGTCAAGTTTGGGGAAGTGTCGGAGAAGCTGAAATGCGTCGTTAGAAAATGCCCTATGCATGTTCAATTGGGTTAAGATTTGGAGAACAACTTGGCCAATTAAGACGCTTAATTGTTTCACTTACAAATTATTCGTTTACGATACGGACTCTATGAGTATCTACGGTGTGTCTAACAATAATAGGATTAAGAATCTCATCCCGGTATTTCAAACCTACCAGGTAGCCTTCAATAATCTGGATATTAGTTTTGCCTGCCAAATTTATCACAGAACTTCCATTTAATCTGTCATGTTAAGAAATGAAAAAATTGCATATCTTAATTTTCCTCTTTGCTCTCCAAACAGGTTTTTTGCCATTGAAGTCAAAACAATGTGGGGACTCGTCTGAGAAGAGACCAGGAACGCCAATGACGTTATTATTTTGTTAGCATTTTGTTGCCCTTGTAGTCGATTTCTGCAATACTCTAATTTTAATACAGGATGTACGACTGGTCGCTAAACCTTGAGAGATTTGCTTCATGAAGTCTGTTTCGAAATGTTTGAGTAGAAATCCGTCTACCCTTCGTTCTCTGAAGCTCAGTATTAAGCTAAAGCCCTTTGGAAGCCGTGCCCGTTTGCAACATTGGGGAAGTAAGGGGCCTCGTGGACTGTCTTACACCTTGGACGTCTCGAATTAACCCTTCATTGACAATTTCATGCCTGTAAATTTTATTTCCATAAAGGTTTACTACTTTCTGCAACATGGCGTTGCGTTTTGCCAGCTTCTAGAGTCCCTATTGTCCTGGAACATTCGTCCATGCTATATGCCTCGTCATAGTGTCTTATCATCAGTTCTGGCCAGATATATTGAAACTTTCTTGTGTTCACTAAAGATACTTCTAAGTATGCTCCCATTTTTTCACTTACTTTTTTAACACGACGTACATTCTTAAGCAATTTGCCGCAAAACTCATCAAACACGTGTTACTCAAGTATAACATCGTGTGAATGACACATTTTTAAACTGACATCTTATTGTCACATAAATTCAGGAGTGGAAATATCTTTTTATGTTAAAATGTGATCCCTTATTATTTTTTTTCCAATTTGCTGTATATTTGTTGATAGGCCTGATATCCAAAATTCACAAATTTCGACAGCTCAATCACCAGAATAAATTAGGAGCAAAGTCTTCTCCCTCTTTTATGATATATTAGTGTTCGTTCACATTGAATAAATTCAAACACTCCCATCTTTGGCGGATCTTTAGAGAGTGTTTGGGGTTCTCCTGAATTGTCAGAATTTTCAATTACCTGGAAACCCTTCATCAAAAGGAAACATGATTTCTTCTTCAAAATGGGATGAGATTATCGACTAAGGAAA